TAGGGACCTCGGCGTCAGACGCATTCTCAATTGCGCTTTGGAGATTGAGGAGGGTGGTGGCAAGCATCTCGCTCTGAACGAGGGTCGTCTAGGTATTGAGAAGTACCGCAAGATCCCTTTGAAGGACACGGTCGAGGCAGAAGGTGTTCAGAGTCACATTGACGAAGCGTGCGCGTTTCTCGACGATGCAAGACTCTACGGTACCCCTACTTACGTTCACTGTAAAGCTGGGAAGAGTCGTTCAGTGCTCGTCGTCATGGCATATCTTATCCATCACCTGGGCTGGCCCCTCTCTCAAGCATACAGCCACGTCGTTGCACGGAGACGCACGGTTAGCCCCAACCTCGGCTTCGTTGCAGAGCTGATGGCTTTCGAGAAACGTCGACAAGAGATTGCGCACACCTCGATTGTTCACTCATCCGCGGAGCGCGGAGCTAAGAGTGCAAAGGACACTGTGGACGAGACAACTGCCGATCAAGTCATTGGAGCGTCAGACTCCGGACGCCAGCGTCGGGTCAGGGATCCAAGGGCACGCGACTCTTTACCCTATTTGCCACCCACACTTTCGGCCGAGCAGGTGACTCGCGTCGACGAACTTCCCAGCCAGAGTGAGACTAGCAATGATCAGGAGGTGGCTCCGGTCGAGGAACACTTGGCGCCATCAACCCGACCGTCCAAAGCCTCCTTTGGACTTGAGCATCGTGGTGAGGACGGACGCTACCGCTCACGCCGCCCACCGGCAGATGCCCACATTCTGGCGCCCAGTCGACGTGCTACCATAGCAGCCCTGGGAAGTGACCATCAAGAGAAGCTGAATGAGCTGCTGGGCGACGCTCGCCGCCTCCATAGATAGGTGCACTCGACGTCCTTTCACGTCATCGAGCGCGGCGTGCTCGGCCTTACCTCGCCTTCCGCACATCCATACAACCTGTACTTGTGCTCCTAACTCATGACATTTCTCCAGAGAAGCAAGCGACAGTGCTCGTGCGGTCTCAAGGCGAGAACGCTTGTCCTTGCCTCTGTTCGCATTCTGCCTCGAGACGTCAGCCCTGGCGAGGATCATCGCTTTTCGTCTCCTTCGTAGCCCTCTAGTCACCGTCAGAAATGGACACTTGATTGTGCACTCAATGTGCCGCAGTCTGCGAACCTTAAGGTCAAACGATATGAGTTGAGCATGTTGTGCCTGGCTCGCGGTGGCCAGGCCAACCTGTCAACGTTGAAGTCAAGAGTGTCTCGCTCGAGGGTTGCTCGAAGTCATCTACGGCCGTCTCCTGACCCGCGCGTGTTGCATGAGTCTTCGCATCAGGGTCCACAAGATATTGGTGCGCGGTAAATGTGTGCGCACGCGTGCACGCGGATGGAAGGGTCTGGCGAGCTGCACGAAATGAGCCAAGAGTCACGAAGCGAGAAGTGGCAAGTATCAAATTATTAGCTTGCTTCTGTATGCGATAAGGGAGCGTCGCCGTATCATGCATTCACGATGCTTCACCACATCCTCTTGTATCGCTCGAATCAAGATACTTGGCTGGTGAAGTTCTGACAGATGGATCAAAGTCGATCAAACGTGAGCGAAGGAAATTAGAAGAGAAGCAGCACGCGTCCTTAGTTTGGGGCTGGGCAAGATGACGCTCAGAAAGGTGGAG